ACCATCCCATTTTTCCCATTGCCTTTCCTCAAGTTATCTACAATGAATGGCTGGTTTGTTAGCAACATACTTTACTGATGCTGGGCAGTCTCCTGGGTTTGTCAGTGAGGTTCAGCTGTAGTTGTTTTATCTACTTTATTAGAAACTTCCTACTGAAGAAAATCATAATGACAGCTCACTTCCCCAGGCTTGAGAATTATCTTCAGGCTATCTGGAATCAGCATGGAGACTTCAAATTTTCCTGGGGTTTTCCAAAGTGACTATTTAAACATAAGTGTGAGGATCTCCTGCTTGAGATGCTCTCACCAGGATGCAATGCCCTTTCAAAGGCATTACCTGGGCTGGGTACTCAGCACTATGTGAAACTCAAGTCCCTTTGATGAACCTCAGGATGGGCCCCCCAGATTGCTGTCRTTCCTTGAAGGAAATTTTATATTCATCTGTTTAGTGCCTGCATGTATATGTTGACCTTATACACAAATACACAAATATACCTGTGCCTGTGTGAGTATGTGTCAGTGGATGTAGGCAGACASACACAGCATTTTTGAGTCCACCTGTTCATCCAGCATGGCACAGCTGCTTCTGGAGGGTGGGGATTTATATGTTGAATCCAGGTAGCCTGGGTTGTACTTTAGGTCTGCCATCAGTCTGCCAGATGGGTTGACTTTCTCCCACTGAATTTTAGTTCCCCCCTTTATTGCTTCTTTTTGCGCACTTCTTTTCGATTTGCTGTTGAAATGTGATTATATGAAGCTCAGTAATTGTTATCGTATAACTTTTTCCACTATATTTACATGTGGATGGTTAGTCAATAAATCAGTCTGAAATTGATGAGAGATAGTTACTGCTATTCCTAAGCGTAGAAAACAGCAAATAGTTCACGAGTTGTTAGTATATTGTAATAGGCAATTATTTATTAATGCAGCTAAATCAAACATTTGTMTGACCTGCAGTGAGGCTGAATTTGMCRTCAGCTGTAGGACTCCTCTCACCAACTTCACATATGTTAGTGTCAGTTTAGGCTGCTTCTACTGCAGRTGAGAAAAGCCAAAACCCTTGTGAGTACACTTCTTCCCTCCTTTATTAGGAACAAAATATCCTCCATTATCTCTCCCTGGACAGCACTGAGGGTTGGTTGGTTGGCTTACACTGAACTCCTAAYTTGTAATGAACCAATGTAAGTGATTGACATCTTATGCACTCAACTACAGCACATTTGGTGTCTGACAGATTTAGAAGTATTTTCTGAAGAAGATAAAGCCATCAAAGTAACCTTGGGTAGAAATAAWGATAAAASTTGAATGTCATAAAAATGGTGTTAGGTGTCTCATTTAGCAGTAAACTTATTTCAAGGTGGTACAAGAAGCTGTATGAAACAAATACTGGACTGTATGAAAAAGCGTTAAAGGTTTAGTGAGGTAACTTTGGCAGTTTGAAGAATGATGTGTAAACAGTCTTTTGATTTAATCTGTGGCTGAAGTAGATTTCTCATTGTAATTAAAGCCATGATCTGATGTCACCAGTACTTTTTTGGAGCTTTCCTAGAAAAAGCTAAGACCTCAGAAAAGACTGAAGTGAAAACCAGTCTGCATTTTAATTTTAATTTTTTTTTAGTAATTTGTGTGAAGCAAAATTCTGAAAAAAGTAAGAAATGCTCATGTAAAGTTAGTGCTTCTCTCTGCCCCGTGACCTTACCTCACCTTGACAAGCTGAACCCCATCTCCCAGTGGTAGAGGTGGCATCAGCTTGGATGTTTTGAAACTGCCTTAAAGAATAAGCTCTAAAGTTACCTTTTTGAGGAAGGGGGGAATTTGAAGTGCTCCATAGAATTACAGTGACATTTGCAAGTGTGCTYCAAGGAACTGATCACCAGTCTTACTGTAACATTTTTTTTCAGTGGGATTCACACAGTTCATCTGCTCAATTATTCAGCAGCTCGTACTCCTTGTTAATAAATGACATGGTGCTGATCAGTCAGGAAGAATTCCTGTCTCCACTAAAATCCAAAGTAAAACTCCCACAGAATTAAATGAAACAAACAATTTGAGAATCCTATTATTTTATGCTCTCCTTTACTTACTTAAATATTCCTAATTTCCTTGTTGGGCCATCTTTTTTTACCAATGCTACAAACACTACATTGCTTTTCTGTTCCTAAAGCAAAGTATGTTTTCCTGTTCCTAAGAAAAGTATGTTTTCCTATTTCCAAGGAACCTATCTGAGGTTCAAGACCAGGTCTACAGATTCTAGTGAAACTTCAAGTATACAAAACCTAAACTTATACCATGGACTGAAATACAGTTGCTTGCCCATAGCAACTGAAACAGAATGCTCTTACCTCTAGCAAAAGGTCCTTCTGTCTCCTAAGAATTTGTTTTATGAAAGTAATTATTTCTGAAAGCTGAAACTGAAAAGAATGGAAAAAGTTTTCAAGAGTAAACTGCCAGATGTGCTAAGTGGTCAGATAGGAACTGCTGGACATAGGGGATTCCCAGGGCTTGTCATCACTGAGAGCCTTGCTCTAAGCCCATTCAGCAATTAGTGGCAGATTGGCAGAGTTATGGTGATAATATAAAAAATGGTGAGATGTTCAAAATTTGAGGGAGTGGGTGTCCAAGATTTGTGTCACTGCTAACAGAAATGCTGCTTCTCATTTGAGTATCAAGGCAGCATGCTGGTGTGGCAGTCTCAGCCACAGGAAAAGGTGTAACCTAAACCCGCATATTAAGAGACAATACTCAAATAATTTGGTTACAAGACAGAGAACTGTAATGAGTTCATTCATTCCCATTCTCACAGAGCTGCTGCTTTGCATTGTATGTGCAGAGGGGCAGATGTCTCACAGTCCCAGATGGACACAAGCAGCTTTACCAAAAACACTCAGCTGTGTGACAYGTTAAGATCTACTTTACATTGGCCAGCACAACTGTAGATTCCTTAAGGAGAGATTTCGAGAAGATTTGCAGCTCCTGTCTAAACAATATTGCTGGTCAGTGTGTACAAGAGAGCAGAATGCCATCATGAAGAGCAGTTAGAAGGGAAATGAAAAGGGGGAATGGGAAACAGGAAAAGTACAATTTTAAGATAAACCTGAGAAGGGGCCTCACAGGACTGAGGAACTTTGTGGCTAATAGTGCATTCACTTCAGTGGGTGTAAGGCCATGACTGAAGAATCACAGAGCGATGAAGGTTGGAAGGGACCCCCAAGCGTCTGCAGTTCTCCAGTCCTCCTGAATCAAGCAGATTTCATTAGAGCAGATTACACAGGGCTTTGCCCAGGCTGGGTCCTGGATGCCTGTTTCAATGTCCAGCCATCCCCATGGTAATTTTTTTTCTTCACATTGAGTAGGAATTTGATATTGTAGCTTACTTTCCTTATTGTACACTGCAGTATGACTCCCCTGTCAAGTTTTTTCTTCTTAAGAACAAATGTAGGTCTCTCACCCTCTCCTCATGTGCCCTGTGTTCTGGTCCTCTGACCAGCTTGGTGGCCCTGCGTTGGATTCACCTCAGTGTGTCCTTGTCTGTCTTGACTAGGAGCCCAAAACAGGCCACAGTGCTCTAGGCATGGTCTCATAAACACAGGAAGACAAGAGTCATTTGCCCTAGCCTGCTGGCTGCACTCCTGCTAATGCAGTGCAGCCTTTGATTGATCAGGGGTGCCCTGCTGATGCACTCAGKTATGTTGAAGTTCTGAGCTGGGACCCTCGGGACTTTTCTGCCAAGTCAGTTTAAAGGTACCAAGTTTTAGTCCAGCTTGTCCTTTTTGCAGCCTGTTCAGCAGTCTGGTGTTATGTGCAAACTTGCAGAGACCATAAAGGAACTGTGTGCCAGAGTTCTTCATTGATATAGGTAAATTCTCAGTGAAAAGTCTTCATGTCTTCTGAGCAGGATRTGAGGAGTTGCGAGCACAAACAGCTTCGTATTATGAGCTTATAAATAACTGATGAAAAGAACTCCAGGTCACTGCAGGTAGTTCTTTCCTGCAGAGTGAAGTCAGTACCACTTTATCACGAGTCCGTCACTGGATAGAGCATTGGAGGACAATTTCAAAAATCCTACACTTTGGACTGTGTTGCAGGATGGATCACACTTAAGTGTATGGTGTGGGATGTGGGGGGGAAGTGGTGTATCATGTCTGGGACAGCTCAGCTATATGAGAGAGATCTTTAACTATAGATTTCACAATGTTAGTATGGCAGAGGAGGTTATTTTCCWTTAGCTAGTCCCTCCATCAGATGATTTCCAGTCTGATGTCACAGCTGCATGATTTGTGTAACATGTCCAGACTAATCATTTTAGCTTTAATAGTTTCATTTTTGCTACCTGTTGGCTTTATTCACYAAACTTATAACCCTTGGGATGTTGCCAGAACTGCCACATTGTTCTCCTATTGTATGCTCAGAGCCACAGTTCTCAGTATTTTCTTTCCCTTCTTGTAACATTGTGGGAGCCCAGTTGCAATTCCCAAATCCCCAAAAAGTGATTAGTAATTATTGTTCGGTAAGTGCTTAATAGGGAGATTAAGACAGGCCACCAGGTGTTTACACAATAACACTCAGTAGCGTGGAAATTCAGCCCTCGCTATTACATGGTGTAAGGAGAGTAAATGCCTGCCCTTGGAGAAACCAGCAATTATTTTGATGCTTGTATTATACCTCATTTTCTCTAGTAGACTGTGTGGTTCTGTTATTTCTTAACTTTTCATTCCCTGATAGGGATTTGTCTGTGTTTATAGTAGCAGGATTGATCTGTAACCACGAGATCGGTTTCTATTAAAGGTGTTTTTCTTGCACCATCAGTTGGCTGCAAAGCTGCATTTTTAGTCCATCCCTTTGTATCTAACATGACATATTTGTATACAGCAACAATGGAAGGGAGCTATGCTTCACACTGAAGCTTTGAAATAAGTGATAGTGAAATAGCTTAGGAGCAGCACAAATGCTCTTCTGTAACAAATCATATCATTCACAATGTCTCTTTTTTTTCTGTTTCAGGAGGTTGGAAGCATTATCGGAAAGGTCAGAAAATAACTTTATTTATATTCATGTCAAAATATTGTATATCAGTTCTCTTTTTTTAGCCCAGGCTAATGGATTTTTTTATGTTTCTTTAACAGAAAGGTGAGACAGTGAAGAAGATGAGGGAGGAGGTAAGACAAGCTTTGATGTCTTCACTTSCCTTCCTTTCCAGCTCAGAGAACAGGGAGTTCAGCATGTGCAGACCGATGCTGCCATCCAGTGGGCTGATAGTTCAACATCCCCATTCTTTGCAAGCGCTGGGGTAGAAATATGCTGTCCTAGATTAAACATGGTTGTTAATGTAACCTTCTTATGGGGCAGCAGTCTGGAGTCTTTTATTCCCAACGATGTAGTAACCTTCTAATGGGGCAGCAGTCTGGAGTCTTTTATTCCCAACGATGTACCTGCTGCTGCCTTATCTCAGGAACAGCTCACCAGCGTGGTTCTGTGCATCAAACTCACTGTCTCTTTCATTAACATACCAGCATCAGTGCTGCATGTCTTGGCCTCCTGGTAGTCTCCAAAAATATGAAACCAAGCATCAGACTGACACACATCAAGTTTGAGGGTAGACACGAGCTTCAGCAGAGCTGGAGCCACACTTGTATAAGCCAGAGCATTTCTCAGCCATCTCTTGGCAAAGCCTTCATTTTTCAGCTGTGAGGAGTATGTGGGCAGGGTGGACCTGCACACCTGCCATTTGAATCCTTTGAAAAGATTGTAGACACCAAATAGTTAAAATAGTCCATTGCATAAACCTCAGCATCCGTGGTGTCTGCAGGCTTCTTTCCCTGCCACAGAGCAAGCTGTGCTGTCCTCAGAGGAGTGCTCAGGTGGAGGCTACAGACTCACACTGCTCCTGCAAGGCAGCACATCCTACCTGGAGATCCATGTAATTTTTCTACTTTGAAGCAACTGCTGAAAGTACAAGTCAAAGGACAAATCCTGCTGTTTAAAACTTTGGGAGTGCACWGTATAGAAGATGCCTCAAGAAAAGTCAATTTGGCTCTAGTAAAGCTGCAGTGCATTACTGTGTCAGCTGCTTTGTTGTTTTCTACTCAGATAGAAGGTCTGTGGCAGGGAAATGTCAAAGTATTTTAGTGAAGAAAATTGCAGACATCCATCTTTAAATATACACAACAGGGATTTCATTGTCAGGCTGAGCTCCTTTTTTGATGACAAGGGTCTTCACCCATGTTTTCACACATTTGCGAAGACTTAAAGAAAAGAAGGGAAGGAAAAATGTTTCCAGTGTACTACATAAACCTGGCAGTTGATTAAACACATTTAAGTTTAATAATTAATTATGATCATGAGCAGATATCYTTCAATATAAATTGTATGTGCAGATGGGAAGCCATCATGGGARAGTGCTGATTTCTGGGTAGAWMWTCTTAAAGAATATCTGTGATCCTTGCTTGGTCTTTCAAGATAAATATCAAATGTTTTTCCGATTCTGGACAATTGCTGTCATGTATGTGTGGCCAAAAGAGGTTTTATTTATTTGGTTATTTTATAAATGAAGGAATTTATCCATCTTTATATCAGAATGGGRATAAGAGGCTTTATCTCCACATAAAGCTTGGTCCCCCTTTAAATTGCTACCTTCTTCAGTACTTCTTTAAAAGCAAAATGCAACTTTTATTTTGACTTCTCTGGCAGATGTGGCAGGGTGCATGCCATCTTTATGGTGTGAAATGTAACTCTGTCTTTGGGGAAATGTCAGAGACAATTCTGTCATTGGGGAAATGTCAGAGACAACTTAAGGCCTAAAGAAAAGTACAGAACCCTCAATTCTGTGACCATGTCTGTGGCAGAAAGGTTTTCCTGTCGGAATTGTTGAGCTTTGGTTCTTTCATGTTTAGTGTGGGTGCTGTCAAATGGGGAAACACGGTCCCTTGCTGTAGAGCAGCAGCATGCTGTGGATAAGGGCTGGGATACACAGCACAGCCTCTGCTGTATGGTGACCCTGAAGGCAAAGGGCCAGACTAACCCAGGTTGTCTCACATTTGCTTCAGGCTCTGATCCCCAAGAAGGTCAATGCCTGTGGATGGGTTGAGGCTCCAGTGACTTGTTAGGCTGTATTGATGCATTTCCATGCCTGAAACCTCAGGGAACGCGTAGAGTGGGTTTTACCTGAATTGGATGTAATCATTACCTACACCAAAATCCTCTTAAATACACATATAAAAATATATCTATAAAAACAAATTYATAAATATATAAAACCTCCTTGTTTAGAGGTTTCTCTGCACTGCCACAGTGACATAAAGAGGACTGAGTATACCTGAGAGCCAGCCTGGCTTTTCTACCAGACTCCTGGGTTTCTAACTCCATCCAACAGGCTGCTTGCCTTACAGACACAGTAGTGGTGCTGTTTCCTGTCCCAGCACCACTCCTTTGAAGGGTTTCTCYGTGCATGTTGACTGACTGCCTTCACATGAGGCACATCTACAAGGAGCCTTCTCCACTGTGCAAAGCATGACCCCAGTAGAGGTCAAGCCTCACCTTTGGGGCTCCAAACCAGAGAGGGGCATCATTCCTGAGAGATGCTCGTGCTCCCAGGGGTCAACCACCTTCTCTTAAATTCTGCAGGTCTAGTCCTGTTTAAGGTTAACCCTGCAAGAAGGAAGGGAAAAGAATTAATTATTCAATTATTTGCAACTTTGAGTTACAGAGGTTCTGTTTGCACACTGCAAAGAAGGCTCTTACTCAGACAGAATCTGACTTTCAGCAGTTACATCAATTTTTGGAATGGGATCAGCTCATGCTGAAATTATATGATGTTGGGGCTGCAGTTGTAGGGGAGTGTATTAGATGCCTCAAGGTATTCCTTCCCAAACTATATCCTGATCCTACTTAGTTTGCTCCCTGGGAAGTATAACTTGGGAAAATATTTTTTTTCCTTTTGACAGAGTGGTGCTCGAATCAATATTTCAGAAGGCACTTGTCCAGAGAGAATTGTGACAATAACAGGCCCAACAGATGCAATTTTTAAAGCTTTTTCTATGATTGCACTAAAATTTGAAGAGGTAAGCAAATATTTTTTTTTTCTCTTCACCAGCTGAAATACAAACACTGTTTGAATTTTCTCATGTTTGCTTTAATGTTAAATAGGATTTGTKTAATTCCATTTAATAGCAATAAAAGTGGTTATATTTTTATAAATGCTTTTGGCAGCAACRCTGAAGAAAAATAATGGGTCAATTTACAAGATGTTTGATCATTTCTTTTGCTTTTTGGAGGCTTCAGGGAAAAGCAATTGCTTCTAGTAATATGTGCTAATGGTAGGAAAAGTGTCTTGGAAAGATTCTATTCCCATTGTGGGTTTGATTTGAAAAGAATAATTGCCTTTTAACTCTGTTTTTATATGAATCCAGTTGGTATTGATGTAAATGTTATATATGTCAAAATGAATATATAGTTCGTTTAACTAGAAAATTTTAATTTTAAAAACAAACTATATGATTACCAATTACCATATTTAAAGCTTGTCTTTTAAAACCAATTAAAGTAGRGGCACTCAGAGTAAGTAAGGCAAGAGCTCAGTTCACTGTGGAACTAATTGTTCTGTGCAGATATGTATCTAAATTGTTGGAATTTCCTTCAGTTTTATGGACCGGCTACAATTAAATATGGTCACAATTTTAGTGGGGAACCTCACGGAAAACACAGCAGAATACAGGACAAGAACTCTGGTCACTCTGGAGAGGATTTAACTCCCTCTGTTTTTGAAAACCATATGTCTAGTCCAGGCATCCCTCCTGTCCTCTCTGGAGAGACAAATGCCCCTGCAGGAAGCAGTTCACATTCTCCCAATGGAAGAGGCTGCAGACASGTGGGCTGAATCACCTGCAGCAGAAGAAAAGGGTTGGATCTCTCCACAATGGATTACACTTGACAGATGTTAATCCCTTTCTTAAGGGTTCTTATTTCTTCAAGTCAGCGAGGTTAGTCCCCACACCTCCCTGTAGCACAGGGAGATGATGAAATTGGTGAGAGTTCTCAATGTGTGCCTTTATTCACCCATGGCAATTGTTCAAGTTTAGAGCAACAGGACTAGAAGAGAGCTTGTAAGTCATCAGATGCAGTTGTCTTCTGGCATCAGCTGTATGTCTACAACTTGCATCTTCACAACAGGATCAAAACCTAGTTAGAWTTTTTTCTATTTCCTGATACTGGTTCCACAATTCAGGTCTCCAATAATTAGACACCTTTTTTTCACTCCTCACCTGAATTCATTCATGAACAGTTCATGCAGCTTTGTTTTGTCACAGCAATGGCCATTAGTTTAGATAATTCTTGCATTTCCATCCCTGAGGATTCCCCTTCTAGATATATATTTAGAAACTGATTTTATCCCCTTGCTTTTGCCAGAGAAAGTGATCCAAGCACAGTCTTCCAGAGGATGCATTCTCCACCTTTCTCATGACTCTAGTAGTCCCTTCTTCCAGTTAGTTACATTTTATGTTCAGTGTGCCCATAATTATGGGCAGGTTACAAATCAAGTTCCACAAAGGAACTTTGGCATTGTAACAGTCCCTTGTCCTAGTAATGCTGTGCATGCATCTCTCTACCACTGCTGGAAATGCCTCTCCTCCTGCTAGTGTAATGCTTTACCTGGTGGCTGTCCCCCGCTCCTGCTCAGCTGTTTTCATCTCTTCAGTCTTGGCAAACATTCCTGTCAGACAAATTACTTTTTCTTTTTTAATACTGCAGATGTTAATCCCATTTATATTTCTTCAATCCTTCATGGGTTTTCACRTCTTCCTATGTGATATTCCAGTCTTTCAACCTGTTAATAAAATGTCTTAGTTTTGTGTCATAGCACATTTTATAAAAAGCTCGAGGTTTTTTTCTTGCCAGTTATTAGTGAAATAGTAATGATTTTGAGGTTTAAGCCTGCAGAACAACATGACWAGCTCTGTCTAACCCAATTTTAAAACCTCCTGTTGTCATCTCTTTCTCCTCTTCATCTCCARCCCATCATGGACCAATCCCTGTTTCTTCTAGTTTCAGAGGTAGCTTGGTGTACARTGCCATACCCTCCAGTCCAGAGAGCCCTGCAGAGATAGGTGTCTCTGCTCTCTACAGGAGAAACATGTTCCACATAGGGCCTTATCCTGTAAAATGCTGTGAGAGAATCATTAGCACAGATAATCCCTGCCACTTCCCACCAAAATGAATACCCAGTGGAAATAATACTGCATTTTTCATAAAAACATCAAACACTGCACAGCATCAGATCCCACCACCCAACAYGGCATAGTCTTTGAAAGTGCTGTAGGTAGCAATAAGCAAAGAAATCTGAAATTTGGGCATCTGGCTGGATTTTTCACTTATTTTCACTTGCAGGTTTTAGAGGGTAGTCTGGGCTCTTCCAATGACACTGATTATAGGAGCAAAGGAGTATTGGCACTGCCTGTAGATGAAGTACTATTCTGAAATATCTGTATTTAGTTTTAACATAATTGGTTTGTGGTATATTTAAAAGAACAGCAGTAAAGAAATATGTCTCATATAATCAGTTAGTTTTCCTATAAATCTTCCTGCCAATGAAATGAGGTAACTGTAACATTATGGAGGCAAAATAAAGTGCTGGTTTGGAAATAACAAATTAGCTAGCTACCATTTTTCATGCATATRTTTTTGCTGGAGATTTCTTCAGCCATTTAAAAAATTCAGTCCAGCTCTGATTATTGCAGTTGCATTGAAATGGAAGAAAAAAGATGCATATGTGAGACTGCTGCTTTGAAGGCTTCTTTTAGTATTTATTATGCATGCCCACATGAAGACCTTGAACCTTTTATTTCAACCCTACAGCTGTATACCTGGGAATAAGCAGGTCTAGGAGGACATGGAAACCCTGGAATGCATTTCTAATGTCTGTAAAAATCTCAAAACATGATAGATAGAAAAAAATAAGAAAGGTTGTGCTCTCATGGTGGTTGCTCTGCAGCCTTATATCACTCTGCTTTGACAGCCTTCTTAATGGAAGTTGATTTCCTAGCAGTCTTATGATGAATTTACAAGCTAGGTAGGTGTTTTCATAAATACCTGAAGTATTCACTGCACGGGAGAAAGAGAATTGTTAGAAAAGGACACTAACCAAGGCAGGCCACTGKAATTGCAAGAAGGGACATTTTAGAGTGGTCATTTCTGGACTGGAGCCTGAGAYCTGAGAAATGGCAGCTGTAATTTCATTTATGAGTGGGGCAGCTTTAGCTTTGCTTGTAAGTCTGTGTAATCCTCCAGAAACACATGGTGGTTAAGCCCTGGAATAACCAGCATGCACAACTCGGTAGTCAGACCTTCTCCATATAAATAAGAAAAGGTTTGTAATCCTTGCTCATCTTCAAACATAGGTGAAGACCTTGCTCAGCTCTAGGAAGTAGGAGAAGATAAAAGGAAGGTGATAAAAACAATCAGAATGATACCTTATTGCCAAACATTAATTCTTGGCAGAACGACTTTGGTCAGTCGTGTGATGGTCATTGCCAAGTGATGAGCCACCTCACAGAATCCTCCTTGCTGTGAAAATTGGCAGGGTCAACATTTCCTTGAAAACCAATAAAGAATAATTTTGGTATGTTTTTTTTTTTTTCCCTGGAGTTTTGGTAGATTTCTGAGCTGCCAGGTTAGCTTACCTTGGGAAACCTTACGTGCTATGACCCTGGGATGCCAAGGGCTGGGGATGAACTGCTGGTTCTCCCAGCACTTCCAGGCTCCCAGTTCGCCTGTCTTGCTTGAGGAGCAGCCCACCAAGCAGGGAGAAAGCCACGAGCCATGCAAGATTCAGCTGTAGTGTTTGCCACAGCCCTGAGGAAATGGATGCAATGCCACAGAAAGTTTGAGGTTAAAGGAATAGGAGTCTCCCAGTTTGAAAGGTGACTGTTCTGTGGGAAACTCTCCAGCCATCCCTACTTGGAAGCGTGCAGTTCTGAAGGGGATTTTTTTCTTCTCATTTCTCCTTTGTCATGTTTTTAAGCTGGAACAACTCCTTTATGCATTCCATCCTGCTGTGCCTGCATGTTTGGATTTTGCTCTTMTTAAATGATGAGAACAAAATAAAGAGAACAGTGGCTTCCAGTTCTTGCAAAGTGCTTTTGAAGGCAGGAGCTTCAGTGAAGGCTTTGAGGCAGGCCACATATAATATGGGAAGTATCATTATGAGGGCTGTGCCATGTGGCTGAAGAGGATTATTTACCTGCATCTGGATGATCATGTGCCTCCACCTGACACAAACATGATACAGTGAGATGGCATCTTGCAGCTGAAAAATTGGCATAACTTTATCTCATATACACGGGTKCTGCAAAATTCTGTTACCCCCTGGCTTTATTTTGGATTGCAATCTCTCACTGACACAGGCACTAAACAGAATGTGAGTTATTACTGGTTGGCAGAGGAATACTGGCACATGCAGCAGTGCCTCTTTCCATTCAAAATTTTGTTTTCTTCTCTTTTAAGCTAAGTAAGGCTATGCTAAGGCATTTCTTGGATGGAAAATGCTTCCATCACAAGTGGGGAGATTCTGTAGGAATCAGTTCTGGTGTCACTGGGCTCCCATACTAGTTCAGTGAGATGCGCAGAGTTGCCTGAAGTGCTGAGTAGTTTTGTKGTTGRTTAGGTTTTTTTATAATTTGGRGTCCTGATTGCACAATATAGGCACTTTTTTTTTAACAAGTGATGGTCTTTATAAGCATAGGGAATCACATCAGTTCTGTCTGCTGTAACTCTTGTTGCATCATAAATGAGTTAATATGAAATGCACTTTTTCTCATTCCTCTCCTGATCTTTTGGGTAACATTTCTGTGGAGAATGTAATAGCTGTGCTGTGCCATCTCACAGGTGGATGAGCAACTTCCCAGCTCATMGCTAGTGTTGATGAAAAGCTCTTAAATTCTAAGGAGTTGGACAGTGCTGTTTATTTTTGTGATCCTAAGCTCTCAATTGTATCTGTTGATCAGCAGGAAGATAAACTTTATCTTGTGCTCTGTTAGGAAGTCTTCACAGGGATTGTTTTGTCTTACCTACAAGATTTTGAACAATCAAAATATATTTAAAACAATTTAAACCTTGCAACAAAAAGTATATTGAAATGCTTATGGGACTGTGTAGTGTAGTCTCTTTGAATAGTGGGATACATGGATATGTTACATTACCTGGACACAGGCACTTTGCTGTTCTGCTGAGCTTTATACTCTGGTTATGTAGCCATGATGGAAAATATTTTAGAAATTGTGTAGTGCTACAAATATTTATGGACCTGCTACAGAAAAGAAATTAAATATATAGAGGACAGCAAAATATTTATCAAAATCAACTGATTTTCTCTGCTTCAGATTATTCACAGGTTCTTTGTCATTCCTTTTTTTAGCTGTTTTCCTTAGAATAAAATCTGAGAAGAAACTGTGTGAAATGTAAAGATATATTATGTAGTATAAATGTTCTGACTGAGGTGGTGAAAAGGAGACTAACACAGACTGAAACAGGATTTGTAAGCCTGTGAATCCAAAAGCCTCTGTCTTTTTCATCTGTTTTGGCTAGTCTAATGACAGACACCACCTCCTCCTCCTATTCCAGCCTCTGGTCCCACAGCATGAACCTTGGAATGCCAGACATCCAAAGTGTTCCCTTGGCACAAGCTGCCTCATGCTTGTAGGGAATCACTGTGATGGGCTTTCCTTAGCAGAAAAACAAGCCACAGCTGGTGGCACCCTCCCCAGGTCTCCACAGACAGCCTGGGCATTTGCTCTGAGCCCTTCAGTGCTCACCAGGAGTGACAAATCCCCCGCTAATACCCACTGACACTGTGATTACAGGACATAAACGCTTCGATGACAAACAGCTCGGTGACAAGCAAACCRCCCGTAACACTGCGGCTCGTCGTCCCAGCAAGTCAGTGTGGATCCCTCATAGGAAAAGGAGGCTCCAAAATCAAAGAAATCAGGGAGGTAAGTCTTGGGATGTCTGCTGGGGACACTGGCTAACTCAGCATCCTGCTGAAGTGGGCCCTGCTGGCATCACCTGCTCTACTTCGGAGCATGTATTGGACCAACAGGAGCATGTATTGACTGAAAAACCTGGAAAAGCCTTGCTCTGGGAGAAGCAGGAGGTCCAGCACAGCTGGCCTTGTACCTTCCGTGACACTAAAGACTGGATGTGAAATAGAGAGACAGCTTTACAGTGTATAAATCTTAGATGCACCATTAATCAAAGCAACAGTGACTGAAATGGCTCTTCAAGTTTCTCTTCAGGCATAGTCTCCTCCCCAGCGATACTCAGGTGACCCAAGTCAAAGAGTTGTAACATTTTTAAATTAGTTACCACCCTTACAGTAAGAGAAAAGCTCAAGTAGTACTGGAGATTCCAAGTTAGTAGATCTACTTTAAAAAAAATGTAATTTTCTTGCTTCTTGCCTGTTTCTCCCTGATGTCACTGGTCCAGTGGTATCCTAATTTCATGTATTCCAAACGCATACTGATTTTTTTTAGTCCAGACTTCAGCTAGAGACGTTCATTCAGTGTTCTAGAGCCTCTTTTTTGTSACCAAAAATGCAAAAAGTACCATGCAATTTAACTCTTCCGTGCATGTCTGTAACAAATATAGCACATGGGAAGCCAAGGATCTGGTGCTTGTAGTCACTCATAGAAGAAAATCAGGTACATGCTCAGTTATATTGAGAAAATACGAATAGGAATATTCTGGAGGAAGTGACAATATTCCATCCAAATTTGAATTCGTTCCAACATGGTTAGAATGAAGAGTATTAAATACTAAGATAACAYGTTGATCCATTTTTTAAATTTGCCTGTGTCAAAGCAAAAGGCTTTTGACAGGCTCTGCAAAGTTGAAACTCCCTTTTTTGATCTAAAATGTGAATTCAAGATTSACAGGTTTTATGGATCTTTTAAACTGATTTCTTAGTTGTGTTAAAATAGGAGCAGGCATGAGTGTAGACTATATGCTGGTGAGTGCTTAGCTCTAGGTTTTACAGCTGTCCATACTTTGGATTTTGTATTAAATATTGGTAACTTCATTCAGAGCACTGTGGGAATGTGTTCGGGACATAGGTTTTTAGAGGTGAGATTGGTCTGTTGGTTAAATGAAATAACTGAAGTGATCATCCTGGTGAGCATAACTTCAGAGGCAATTACCTGCAGTCTGGTRCAAGGAAGTAAAAGGATTGGTTTTGGCCAAATAGATGTTTTGGTAAGGCTAATGTAGTGAGAAGTCACACTGCAAATCTTCCTAAACATAGGAGTAATGGACAAAATATTACTCATCTCTTTCTACTGACATATGACCAGAGTCAGAGAACAAACAAGATCAGCACTGGAAGCAGATGCATAAATGACTCTGGTGTTTGGCAGTGTTTTGTGCTGGATGTACAGATACCCAGGAATATAAATTAAAAAGCAAATGCCAGGAAAGAAGGGGGGGAAAGGGAGCATCGAGCCCAAGATGTGGTGCAATTTCATCATCACACAACACACTGAGCAGTTGCAAAAGGGATGATATTTTGTRTTCAGTCATGCACCTCGGAACAGCATGTGGGGTTGCAGTACTATTTTCAAGATAACATTATGAAAAAAAAGAAAGAAAAAGCAGGAGGGATTGATCAAATTATGGTGAAATTCCAAAGGCTATTACAGAGGATGGAATTGATACTTTGGTCTTAAACAGCGCTAATGAACAGAAGAAGCAATCAGTGCATTCATCAGTCTTTGGAACGAAGGATAACATGTGTTGTGTATAACCAGCAGGAAAATAAATTAACTCCTTGCTGACTGACACAGCAAGGTTGGTTAGTGGTTACTGAAAATACTTTTCTTTAAAGCCCAAAATACTGCASAGCAGTAAGAGTCAAGAATAGACCTGTTTTACAGTACATTAAAGAGCTTAGTCAACATCAGATGCCTTGATTTTTCTCTATTGACTGAAAAGGTCTTCCGTGTTTGTGTAATAATACAAGGGTGTCAAGGGTTGTTTGGGCCTCTCTCATTTTCTTATTTCTTTGTTTGTTTGGTTGTTTTTTTTAACTAAGACACACTACTAGTGCCAAGATCAAATTTAAAAAACAAAGCAAAAAAAAACCCCAAAGTGGCTCATTACCTTCTTGGGTTCATTAATGAGCTAAAAGTTGATGATATGCATATATTTAATCAACACTAATTATGATTTAGAAGTGCTTCTGTACCACATAGCATAAGGCAGCCCCATATTTCAAGAAGACGCACAAGTCAGCCGTCAGTAGATTAAAGAGTCCTTTGTCAGTAAAGAGTGACTCATTTGATTAGCCAAACTACTTCAATTATCAGTATTTTTTTCCTTTTATTTTTTTTATTATTGAAGAGCACTTCATTTCACCCTTTTTACTTTTTAGTCAGCTTTGCAACTGTCTTTGAGAGGGTTAAAATACCTCTCCTGAAAATCAGGTCACAGTTTGATTCATTAACAGCTACTGAGGACAAACCTCCCTAGGGTGATGGTGTTGGCAAACTGGCTTGAACAGGCAAATCCATGTTCTGGGTATAAGTTTACATATGTGCTCTAGTGCTGCCTCGAATAAAGAACGAAACCTTTTCAAACAATGTTAAAATGATAATATAAAAGCAAGTTGTTAATGAAAGCTTTCATGAGCACAAAATGTGGGTATATGCACATGTGATACAGTATTTCTACAATTTTTATAAGGTTAATTAGTTCATGTATCTAGCCATTACATGCAATAAAATATCAGTTACCCCCATTACCCACCCCTTGGTCTGCCCCTTTTAAGTTGTTCCAGGGGCGTCTTTGCTCTRTTTCTTGTTATGTCTTAAGTTCTGGTTGCAAAATGAAATTTCCTTGTTAGAGGTTCTCTTCTTGAAAATAAGACTGTATTTCAGGAATGTTAAAAGGGTTATCTTATTATTCTAAAATCTAAGAGAAAGGGTAAGAAAAGTACCAGGAGCTATATATTAAGAATTCCCAAAGCTACAGATATGAAAAAAAAGGCTAAAAATCTTTAGACTTCACTAGCACGTGTGTGGCAAAGAGAAGATAAAAAGTTCAGGCGTGCACCCCCTCACTTGCATCAGTGAATGACTGGAGAGGTGCCACTGCCTGCCTGAAGGTGACAGTGTCTTTGCTCTGTCTGTGCTGAAGTCCACAGGAGCCCAGGTGCAGGTGGCAGGGGACATGCTGCCCAACTCGACGGAGCGYGCGGTGACCATATCCGGCACTCCCGACGCCATCATCCAGTGTGTGAAGCAGATCTGCGTGGTGATGCTGGAGGTGAGTGCATGCCCAGCGTGTCCCCTCTTACTCAGGAGATGCTCCAACACATTGTTAATAATTGTCAGTTGCCATGGGTTCCCCTGGGGTGCTRCCTGCCCTTCCCGTGCCAGCGATTTACAGAGGGCTCTGTTAAACTCTGCTTTTCCTAGTGTTTGAGCACCTCTGGCAGCAGGGTTGAGCAATCAAAGGCTGTCAGGACATTGTCAAACAATAGCCAGGTCCAGCACAGAGCCTCAGCCACTCTGAGAGAAACATATCTAGTTCTGATGCAGAAGAGGGCAGAAAATATCCAGGTCTTGTTTAAAATTGAAATAATTCTGACCAGCCAGGACTTTTTTGCTTCCTTAGGGTCAGGTCATTKCATAAGGCCTGAAAGTTTCATTTTGATGGTAGTTTATTAGCCCTTAGATTAAATGATGCAAAATTAATTTATATAAAAATCTTGGCATTTCAACCATTGCTCAAAATGCCCATAATTTCCAAACCACTCACCATTTTCAAAATTGTGCCCACATTTCCTGAAATGTCTTAACGTGCTTAACAAAGCTTCATARCTTGCTCTGATAGTGACAGTAATGAAGCCACAGGTGTCACCAGTGCCTGTTTTGGCCATGCAGTCAGCTCTTCAGCTTTTCCCTTGAAGCCCAGACAGGAGGCCTCTAGCTTGCTTTTGGTCTGATGGGGTGGAGGGCAGGGTGGGCTGGGTTGGGCTGGGTTATTGGCATGCTTTGTTGTCTGAGGTGACCAAGACTGAACTTTTTAATATAAGCTCTGCTTCATTCTGCATTTTGACTGCTTTGTGTTTTTGTCTGCAGTCCCCACCCAAAGGTGCCACCATCCCCTACCGTCCCAAACCTGCCTCTGCACCTATCATTTTTGCAGGTGGCCAGGTAAGAGCAGACACCATTTTGGCTTCAGCTGGAAACCACACCGTCCTGGCCCAGCCTCAGCCAGCGCCTGTTAGTTCTCAACTTTTATTCTTTCTTGCCTGGTATAGTATTGGTGTGCTTTGTCTACTATGTGTGCTTACAGTTTGCAGGTCAGGAGAACACTGCATTGCAAACTTAAAACTCTGATGATGTTTTTTTTTACCAAAAATTAACATGAACTTCTGCAAATTGAGGRGTGTCCAAATCAGGAGCTCATTGAGTGGGGCAGCACTGCTTRTTGTAAAGGTTGGTTTTTGACACAYAACTTGCAGCACCACTAGCAGTATRRGCAAWTTAGTATCTTTTCAGAGATGATGAAACAGCAGGAGATCTCTGTTCATGATAAGTGTAATTCTTTTCTGCTAGTTTTCATATTTTCTGGGATCAAATATTCTATTTCGCAGTAASGATTTACACAGATATTATTTCCACTGCTTGTAGTGCCTCGGAACTGAGTTGCAATGGAGCTCTGAGTTGGCTGAAACTACACACATGCAAGTGTAGGTCTTCCCAGCCATGGTTTGGAACAGCCTGATTGTTATCACAAGAACAGTGTTCCTGTTTCTTTATTATGTAAGGAAGTTTTGCTCATTTCCCCTTGATCTTAAGCTGTATCAGTCAGGGTTCTCATCTGCCATTAAAAGCCCACGTGCAATGTGGATCTTCTGTGTCTTTTAGTAATGCTCTGATAGGGGTCTGCAGCATGTGGCAGAGGCRTAGCAGCAATGCTCTGCCATCACCCATTGCAGGGGGAATGCAGCTGTCACTGAAGACAGYGATAAACACAGCAGAGAATATTCCAGAAACACCATGGGAGGGTCACAAGGGGACCTGTGTAGCCGGCAGGGTTCGAGCAGTGGAGGAGCAGTGAGATGCTGCATGCCCTGCCCAACTCAAGGGGAAATCGACCCCATAGACCCAGCCTAGAGGAAGGCAGCCTCTGCTCAGAATTAACATGTGTAAAGCCTCTCTGGCTGTAAGGCACCCCCACCCAGCCAAATCTTTTCCCCAAGGTGATGCCAAGGCTTCTTTTTAACCAATTACCCAGTTACTCACCTGCATGTGGGAACATCTGCTGGCAGATCCCCCCCCACAACCCCATCAGCCCATCCCAGGTCATCACCATGTCACAYGGTGTGGGCTGATGGCATGGACTGTGTCCTACCCCAGGCAATTTGGAGATCATTTCAGAAGCTGGCATTGTTGGTGTGACCACCTGTGCCACCATAGTCTGTTGGTTTATAAGGAACCTCCTGCAATACTCAAGCTGATGCCAAAATGCCACTGCTTCTGACAGCCCTTGTCATGACCTTTCATTAATTTTTTTTGTCTCAGAGTTTTACCTTCTACTCTGTAATGATACGTTCTGATGTGTATACAGATTTTCATCACCTGAATGGAGTAGCTTTCATCATGCTCAAGCCTACTGCTCTTAGTTGTTGCCATCAAAATAAGAAATCTGCTTCCTTGGTGATCAAAGTTTAATTGAAATGTAAAATAATTTGCCAGAAATTGGGCTGTGACTGAAAGTTTAGAAAAATGTATATATGTATAAGTTTACACTGCAGTGCTTTCCTGTAAGAAGTCTGTCTGTGTGTGTGTGTGTGTGTGTGTGTGTGTGTGTGTGTGTGTGTGTGTGTTTATTATATTTATGTATTTGCAGCAGTCCATTCTACCAGTGTGGTAATTGCCACTGCCTTCAAACACTGTCTCTGCATAGAATTACTCAAAAGTATTGAAACTGTTTGGTAGAGTGCACTGAGCAGTTTGTATAAATAATTAAAAGTGTCCTATTTTCAGGTCTAATAGCTCTTGTCATCTTCAGTTTTATTACTTTAAAAAGTGTCTCGCTTTTCTAATGCAACCTTGTTGATGTGAGAAAGGGTGTATGAGGCAGACACCTTCTGTGTGCTTTGAATTTCTGTGTGCTCTAAGCAGACTTTTCTAAAAAATGTTTAAGGTGTGTTTGGATAAYAGTATGGAAAGACACTTTAACCAAGTTCCATAAGTGGAAATTAATATCGAGAATAAAATTTTTATCATTGCTGTTAATTACATTTCAGCTAAGCTATCAGAAGTTATTTTTCTWTTCTAAATTACATCGTGGCTATCTTGAAAGGTTTTGGCTTGTTTAACACTTAGTAAAATAAGTCATATTAACAAAAAATCTCTAGTTTTCCTTAACAAATTGGGGTCTTCCACTTGAAGTATTGCTTTTAATTCTCTTGTGCTTCTTTGATTCTGGATTGCATAATAAAACAAATGATGGCAGTGATCACTTGTTCATGGGGACTGGAACCTTTTCTTGTGATATATAAACCATCAGTGATGGCCTTCCCCTATGGATGCATGTTTGCCCATAAGCCTCCCATTGAGCCTGGTGCACACACTTCTCCCTGAAAACTGCTCATGTGCATAATGCTTGCCAGATTATGGCCTGGCTTTGTAACTAATTTAAAAGCTAAATGAAATATTTCTTCTCCAGAAGGAAAATTCTGCTGCAGAAATGTGTGTCGTGCAGTTGAGACATTAAGGGTTTTAATATCCAAACTCCATTAAATGAATTRTTTTATCCTTAGCAGAGGATTCATTACTTCCTAAGAGGCCTTTTGTCAAATAAGCATTTTGCAAACTAAGCTAATCAGCTCTGTTCCTGTTTATAATTCTCACACTACAAATATTTATGTTATAATTTGTCCTTCTCCTTTCCTGCCAGTCTAAATACGAGCACATTAAATTTTTCTGACATGCCATTCATATGTAATAGAAAATCATAAACTCTCTGTAGGTTGGTTTTTGTAGGCTGCTGCAGAGTTGAACARGACAAGGGGCTGGACTAACTAGTGCCAGGCATGCCACTGTATCCCTCCTCAGTCATGTGCTTTTTTGTCCCCACACCTCACCCCAGTGCTGCCAGATGATGCCAGAAACTACACCCCTTGCACTGCTCTTGTGGTGCAGTGGCTGGATTTGGAGGGAGGATATTTGTATTGTTGATAACCAAAGACAAGACCACCCACCACACTGGGGTGTCCATGATGGTCCTGTCTCCAAACTGGCCCTGTGCCCAGGCACTGCAGGACACGTTGCCATCRTGCTCAGCTACCCACTGGCACGGCAGCCTGGGCACCAGCCCAGTGAGGTGCCCCAGGGCACACCTTTGCTGGCACTCAGCATCTGTGGCTGTCCACAGCCAGACAAGGTGACTCAGAGCTGGCTGGCACATGTCCCTGCACACACATGGCAGTCAGGAGCCAGAGGACAGGGCAGGGCTTCCCCTGAGCAGGTTTGTCCCCTCCTCACTGTGCCCCTTGCTGCTGGGGCATCAGCATCTCCCTACCTACATTGGTGTCACTGGGCAGAGGAGTTACAGGAAGGGGAAATGGTCACTCCCTGTGCTCCATGACCCCTTCAGTGTCCTCAGGTCAGCTCCTGGCAGATAGAGCTGGACTAAAGAGGTCCTGAAGGCCAAGATGATCAGAGCTCAGAGAGTAGTGTTGGGCATCCCCTGCTTGCAAGGGGAGCACAGGTGGCCTGACAGAGCCCTTTCTGTACYGTGCCCAGGGTTATCAAGCAGCACAAGACAATTAAACTTCACTCAGCATGGAAAGCAGTGCGGGTGGCATTTGCTACGGGGGACAGGAGAAGCTTTTTTGAAGRGAACAGAAACGCTGCTTGTCCCGCCTGACTAACCTGTGTCTTAACTGTGCTTGTTGTTTCCAGGCATTCACGATTCAGGGGCAGTATGCCATCCCTCATCCAGACGTGAGTCCAGCACATGTAAATTACTCCCTTTTTGTTCCTCTCCCTCTTATTTGTTCTGGGCAGCATTTGCTTTCTACAGTTAGCAATAAAGACATGGCCTAAGGACACCTTTCCTGACCAACTCACTGTATAGCCAAGTGTTAGCCCAGCTGCATCTCTTACCTTGTGTAATAATTGCTAGAAAGTACAATGGCCCAGGAACAAATGACGGTTATCGTGGTCTTTTTTGCATGTGATATATTTGAGTTCTTTTGATATGTAATTCTACAGTAATTAGTTAATATTAACAATAGCCATTACATGTAATAACAGTAGAGATGTCATTTATAACCAGTTCGAGTTTTTTTTTTTCTCTATGGTAGATTAGAATGAATGATTAAAMCTTTTATTTTTCAATATAATTTTAATTAATCCAGTTTTAGAACACGTAAGATGGTTTCTCTGCTCTGAAATAATTCCATTTGATTGGTTAGTTCTAATTTCCCATCCTGCCCTGCAGTTGACCAAGCTTCACCAGTTGGCTATGCAGCATCCCCCCTTTACTCCCCTTGGGCAGACCACCCCTGGTTTCCCTGGTACGTACCCATGACCCCCTGGGGATATCCTTCTTCTTAACAGCTTTGTTTCCCGTGGTCATTACATCATTTTAATAATAAATGTGGTCAATGACCAGCAATCCTTCTGTTTTTACACATTAATCTCTCTTCTTCCCTCCCCTACCTCTGTTACAGTTCCTTTCATCATTACTAAAACATGCTTCGTTTGTTACTTTCATTAATCACAACTGCTTCATTTGGGCCYTTGGCTAAAAGCCCTGAGTTTCTTCTGTTCAGTCCTCGCAAAGTTATTGTGGACCATACAGGATGTACCAGTTRGTTCCCAGTGAAATATTTGGACTTGCTTCTTGTCCAGTTTGGTAACATGGATCAGAGAGAAGCAAACATTAGAAAACAGTTTGTAGTCATGGCACAAAAACACTGATTAAAGAAACTGTGACCTGCTGAGACTTGAATTCTTGTAGAGAATGTCTTGAGAGCATCTGTAATCATCACTGCTGGGACAAGTGCCTCACTTCCTACTAGATAATGCAGATAGAGCTACAAAATGCAATGGAAATTTAGTTAAGGACTTCAAATTTGCTCCATACTTAATAAGGCTGAGGCTGAATTCTTGATTCAAGAGTGTGAAGTCATTTAACCCTACAAAYAAAGTTTTTACTGTACTTCACAACATACTTGGCATCTAAAAAAACTTCACATAACAGAAGTGCATCTGTGCTGGTACATGCTTTGTATGGCAAATAACATTTTATCACATACATCACAAATTCTGAGAGCAACCTGACTATTTAATATTCAATGTGAAATAAGTTTATACAACTCATAAATTAATGTAAACATAAATAAAATGTAGGTGAGTCACTTTCTGGTAGAATATTTATTTTTCATGTATTCTAGTTGGCAATAAGTATTTTTGGCATGTCTTTACAGATAATGCAATAAATGCCAAAAAAAGAGAAAATAAGAGAARGATTCATGACATCCAGAATATACTTTTGTTCTTCATGATGTATCTGATAAARTATCTATGAGTAATACTAAATTGCCTTTCCTAGCTTTGTATTTTCCTTATTCTTGTCATTAACATCCTGCTCTTTAATCTTTTCCTGGTTATATTTGTGAGATGTACGTTTCTGTAATGTTACTGTGTGTTAGAGCAGTAATTCCATTTTCCTAAGCATTTTCCTTTTGTCCACCCAGTTTACAAACAAATGTATGCAGCTTAGAGTACTTTGTCCATTTCCCTTCCAAAATTACCCTTCCCAACATTTCTTCAGCAACTAATCCCACATATAATTTACAAATTTTCTTAGGTTAATTTCCTTGTCCTTTTTTAAGTTTTGTTTTAAATTATTTTTCATAAATACGTATTTTGTTCTGCTAATTGTTCATTTGACATCCACTTTGATTTTCCACATTCTAGAACTCTAGTAGATAGGTCAAATTTCAGCCATCCATTAATTTCTCAATTGATGTGTTTAGAACAAGCTTTGCAAACTGTTTTTAGAGGAAATGCTTCATTTTCTAGAAGCTTTTTATGATGACCCTATGGAATCTCATGTGACATTTGTTGCTTTGGTGGGTTAAAGGTTAATTAAATAAGACTCATTTAAAATTAGTCCAGCCCTCTGAGTTTTGCATCCTTTGCTTTCTTTTCTGTTTCACTAGCAGTTCTCTATTTTTCTTTGCTCTTTTCTTTTCTCTTTCCCCCCTCTCCTTTCTGTATGTTTCCTTCTTTAAAATTTCATTTGTTGTGTCTTGCCCTTCTCGCAAACAGCCGGCGTAACATTTTCCCTCTGTCCCCTGAATAGGACTGGATGCCACTACTCCAACCAGTTCCCATGAACTTACTATTCCCAATGATGTAAGTGGACCAATAGTCCGTATCTCTTTCTCTTCTCTCACCCCTCTGCCGCCAGAGGGGACGCCTCTAATCTTTGATCTGTAAACAGCAGCCCCACAATAAACTGTGCAGCACTCAGTCTGTCGGGGAGGGGTGCGAGGGGTTGATGAAATGCTGGATGGAAGCAGCAGGAGTGACTGTCCCCTCCGGTGCCCCRTGGTGCCAGCGCCATGGGGCTCCACTGGCTTCACGAAAGCCTTGGTTCCCAAAATTCATCTCTCAGGTGGCACAGGTGGTCTCAGCAGAGGGGCCAAAGGGGTGGAGGAAAGTGCAGCCCCATGGGCTGTGTGTTGGGCTGGACTCCTCCATGCCCATCCCCACTGAACCCCACACGGTGTTTTTCCTGAGCGCAAAAGCTACTTAAGTTACATAAAGGTGCAATAACGGTTTATTATATGAATAAAGGCTAGAAACACACCTGCCTCAGCAGCTCTGGATCAGCTGTGATCAACAGGCCCAGTGTCCGTGAGCAGCATGGTGCTCAATCTTAAAACAGCTACTCAGAATCAGCTGACATGCTGTGCATCACATAAAAATGCCTTCCCCTTTTATTCAGTTCCATTGCAAACAGGGTTGGGGTCTTTTTTTCAGTTTTCATTACAAATGAGTCACTTGGAAAATGGAAGTTTTCCCCTCTAGTAAAAAAAGCTTTCAAGCATGAATGAAATCACAAATCTTAATTATAGTACTTAAGAGATAGAATATTGTGCTAGCCCTATTAAACTCAGTGGCAATGATTTACAGTAAGAAAAAGATAGAGAATCACAAAGAAGTGTAGGTGTGAGTATTGTGATTTCTTGAGCTTTCTGTTACATAAAAAGTGCTCTGCTGATCTATCAGTTCCTGCTTTGCAACCCCATTTATAGTATGTTGAGAATTTTTTAGGAGCACCCTCTTTATCCTTACAGCAAAAGTTTCTTGATCTCACTTTCAGACAAATGTTGTTCTTGCCATCAGAGATATAAATCCAAGGTCACTCTTCTGACATGCCTTCTTTTGTGGGTAATAGCAGAGAAAGAGGGGGAGAAAGTTCACCCTGGTTCAGTAGTGCAGTAGAAAATATTTTAWAACCATCAGTTTCTCATCCATGAGGTGTGAAATGCCCCAGTTCAGCACTGTCAGTGAAAAGCAAATGCAAATCCACACGATGCTTTTCAAAGAAATTTCTTCTGGCTACACAAGTGTGTTTTGCTGTTGCTAAAGGAGCAAAGCCAAGGCCAAAATGGAGTTAGAAAGAGCCTGCAGGGGTGTTTTGGGTTAAGATTTCAAACCAAGACAAGGGGCTCTACAGGTGATGAGAGGGAGTTCTGGTGTTTGTGTGGTGTCAAGGTGTGCATTTGAGGACCAAAAGCTGCCCATCTGTGCTCTGTGTGCMCCTGTCTGTGTGTGCACACCCAGGGCTGCAGAGCAGAGGGAAGAACAGGCTCTTGTCCTATGGGGCATCAGGGGCCACTTGGGAATTTTGCAGGAACCTTTTGTGGAGTGATTGTGCGTCCTGACATCCCATGTCCCCAGCAAAGCTACAGCAGGGCTGCTCTCCAGGCAGCCCAGTGCCAAAAGTGTATTTCTGTATATCAGCCATAGTGTGGCCAGCAGGACCAGGGCATATTCCCCCGTGCTTGGCCGTGGTGAAGCCACACCAAACCAGAGTTCACTTTTGGGCCCTACATTTCAGGAAAAACATTGAGGTGCTGGAGCAAGTCCAGAGAAGGGCAGGGAAGCTGCTGAAGGGTCTGAGCACAAGTCCCATAAGGAGCTGCTGTTGGAACTGGAGAAAAGAGACCCAGGAGTGACCTCATTGCTCTCTGTAACTATTTGAAAGGAGACTGTAGTGAGGTGGGGGTTGGTCTCTTTTCCTAAGTAAGTGAAGGAAAAGAGGAAGTGGCCTCTGTTGTTGCACCAGGGGAGGTTTAGATTGGGTATTAGGAAAGATTTCTTCACTGGAATCACCATCTCTGGAAGTGTTCAAAAGGCTTGTGGATGTGGCACTTGAGGACTTGCTTTAGGGGTGAAACGGTGGAGCTGGGTTAATCAGTGGGCTCCATGACCTTAGAGGGCTTTTACAAACTTAATGATTGAAAGAGAAATGAGGATATGAGGGAGATGGAGAGATTTGGGGCAGTGAGGGAGCAGGGTGGGAAGGCACCAGTGCCATCAGTTGGATGCTGTGCATGGAGAGAGGTCGGGGTGGGAGAGGCAGCAGCAGCTACGTGGGCAGTTTGACTTTGCTTTCCCAGTAAACATCTCCCAGTGCCAGTTCAGATGGACAGGCCATCAGTGTGGGACCGTGTTTGTTTGGCTGAAGGTGAAGGAAGCTGCAGGCCCTGGTGTGGAGCTGCAGTGCAGCCCTGAAGCTGCACGAGCCATTCCTCTGCCTGCTCCAGCTCCAGAGATCCCCTGTGCTGCACCAGTTCCACGGCGTTCTTACCATACATGCTTATTTGTGCAAAAGTCCAGTACACATGGGAACACCATGAAACTTGCAAATACTCATGTGCTTTGTAGCTACCAGAGAAGTCAGTGTATGTCTACATGTGCTACAACATACTTTTAAAAACCAAAATAGTGATAAGTGCATARAGCCAAAGCTTCAGTAAGAATCTGATGGATAAAAATCAGATATAAAGACAATAAGGAGCTGAGAGTTGAGCCTGGTCTACATCAAATAGATATTAATAGCCATTTACAAATTACTTAGCTTCATATTAAAATAAATTTTCCTCACTCCCTCTGGCATTTAGGCAGTGACAGAAATATTTTTTTCTGTTATTAATGATTTCTGTAACAACATCATGCTGCCTTCTTCACACAATATGCTGAAAATTGCAGCTAACCTCTTGCTCAATAACAAAGAGACACTGGAGAATTGAAAAAAAAAGGTTACAGAAGATGACCTGTGGGTTTTTTTGGCACAAGGAGAAATGAGGTATGTTGAGGTAGGGGAAGACAGAAGTGGTGTAGAGAAAGTGGAAAGGGAACCATTTTTACCTTGTCCTCACAGCTCAAGGAGGGTACATCAGCTGAAGTTTTGAGGTGTACAGACAAATGGTGATACTTTTACACAACACACCAGCAAGCTCTGCAAGTGACTGCCAYGGCCCTTGGACAGCAAAAGGAGAAACAGGTTCAAAAATAATTTGTCAGACAGATGGACTATGGAGCATAAAGGCAGAAATACCAGCTACTGCTCACGTGGTCTGTAAACTTTAGGTGCAAATTCAGAGCACCAGTGGAAACTTTTTTTTTTTGTAAGGGTGTGCTGTGCCAACGTCTGCCACTGTCAGAGACAGACTTCTGGGCTTGATGTGCATCTGATGCACAGCCAAGTCTTGAGGGAGTAAAAATGGCTCTTCCAGCCAAGTCTTGAGGGAGTAAAAATGTATATGCATATACATGTGCATACTATGTGTATGTATATGTACATGTATGTATTATAGTACAGGTATTCACAGAATCACAGAACGGGTCAGGTTGAAGGGTTCAACCTGCCTAGAGCATATGGCACATGATTGTGTCCAGACAGTTCATTAATATCTCCAGTGAAGGAGACTCCACAGGCTCTCTGAGCAATCTGTTGCAGTGTTCGGTCACCCACACAGTAAAGAAGTTATTCCTCACATCCAGGTAGAGCTTCCTGTCCATCAGTTTCTGYCCTTTGCCTCTTGTTCTGTTGCTTGGGATCACTGAGCAGAGCCTGGTTCTCTTGACACCYTCCCTTCAGATTCTGAGGGACATTGATGAGGTCCCCTCTCAGTCATCTCTTCTYAAGGCTGAACAGGYCAAGTTCCCTCARCCCTTTCTCTAGGARAGAGGGATGCTCCAGTCCCTTAATGATCTTTGTCCTYTCCTGGACCTGCTGTAGGAGCCCCATGTCTCTTGTGCTGAGAAAGCCAGAACTGGACACAGCACTCGAGGTATGGCCTCACTRGGGCTGAGCAGAGGGGCAGGATGACTTCAGTTGATCTGCTGGCAGTGTTACTTATTCATGTTACAAGCTCATGGACAGCTTGTTGTCCCCCAAGACCCCGGTCCTTCTCCACAGAGTTGCTTTCCAGCAGATCAGCCCATGCCTTTGTTGAATTTCAGACAGTTCTGTGCCCATCTCTCTGCCCTGTCGAGGTCTCTCTGAAAGGCTGCACAGCTCTCTGGGGTATCAGCCATGCCTTCCAGCTCTGTGTCATCAGTGATCTTTTCTGCAGGAGGCATCTGCTCCTGCACCTGAGTCAATGATGAACAAATTAAACAATACTGGGCCCATTGTTGAACCTTGGAGGACACCACAAGTGGCAGGCCTCCAACTAGACCTTGTGCCACTCATGAGTGTATTTATTAGTAAGTATAGTGTTAGACTACAGCATATAGTGGGCTTGGTTTGGCTCCTCTCCCAAATGGCCAGAGGTGTTCAGATGCAGTTTGACATGGTTCCATCTCACAGTAAGGCTAGGCAGGTGACTTTATGTAAAATCAAATGCCCAAAATCAAATGTCCCTTGAACTTCAACAACACATCAGCTCTTGAATACTTGGATACTGCACAAATTTCAGTGTAAGGAACATGTAATGAGGAAGGCACCCAGAGACAGCCCAAGCCCCAAGCACTGCTGTCCTTCCTGCATGGCAGGTGGAGTAGTGTGTTCTGCATGAGCCACAAGCCGTATCACAGCTTGCAGAGTGTGTTCAAGCAGACTGTCGTCACAGCAATGAAGGGTGACTTTGGAGAGCTTCAGAACAAAGGTTACCAAACCTCTCTTCCAGACACCAGCATCACYGGTGTCCTTGACCAGTCTGGGCTGAATCCTCACTACCTAACTCAAACTCAGCTAGGAAATGGCACTTTGCACTGACCCACCTGGGTGACAAGTGACATCCAAGCGGCAGCTTTCTGAGTGACCCAGCAGGTGCCTGCTGTGCCTGTGCTCTGGTGCTTTCCTCTCCTGCCCACCTTTGCTCCCCACAGACCATGGGGGTCAGTGAGGCATCAGAAGCAGAGGCTTAGGGATCCATCTGTGCTGCCCACAGGTAGCCAGTGCAGGCACACTGGTGATCACATTGACAGGACAGAGGCTTCCTGGTGAACCTCTCATCAGTCCTCTGCGCTGGCATGTGTAGCCACTCACTGAGAGAGATCCTCGGGATAAGGACAGGGAGCTCAGCAAGGCCCTCCTGTTGTATCAGGATGGGAACTCCTGTGTGCATTTCCTGCCACCCCATTTTTCCCCCCCTCGTGGTTGCTCCTCTTGTGCTCGTCACAGCTTGGTCTCTGTTTCAGCTGCCTGGGTATCCACTCTGGCTTTCTGTTTGTCCCTGAGTGTGAAGCAAGGATTGCGTTGGGAGGTTTTTCTTCTTTTGATAAATTGCCTGCACAATGTGAATCTGCTTTTGGTGGTTCCAAATACTACAGTGCCACAAAGTGTTAACACGTCAGGGCCTGAAGCAGGAGAAAGGGTGGGAGGGGAAGGACAGTCTCTGCATCTTGGCATATCTTTTTGCAAAACAGGCAACATTATCCCAGCATCATCAGGCCTGTAGAGCAGTTTCCACTTTCTACCCATTCTAGCCATGGCTGAGCTTCTCAGCACCCACAGAACAAAAATTCCCCTCCCCACCTTTTAGAAACCAAAACATCTCAGCCTCAGCTGTTGGYTTGGTGCCCACTTGCTCCTGGTGGCTCCCTATGCTGGAGGTGCATCCTGGTGCACAGCATGCACACACTCTCACAGCTCAGGCTGAGTTTTGTTCACAAAAWAAGAATTTTGATAAGTTTCTGTAAAGGAAGGAATCTGCTTCTGCCTGCAGTCAGAGAGCTGTAAATCCCACTGACTTTAATGCACAGCACCTCGCCAAGCAAGACCCACAAGTACCCAGGGAGGTGTAGGGCTGTCAGCGCACTGGAAAGGTGCAGAGCCACACGCAGCAGCTTAGCGTGGTCAGCCTGGCTTTCAGCTGCTGCTCTTGGCTTGCTGCTGCCCCTGGCAAGTCAGGCAGGGCTGTGGTTYGTTTTTCTCAGCACCACAGCACACTGTCATTCTCTGCCATGGGAGACAGTAAAATAGTCTTGAAGGACCAGAGATAAGATACTGAGTGAACCATGGAGCAGCAGAACTGGATGTAGAGGTGTATGATCATGGAGCCGATAGACTGCACTACTGATTCTTTCCAAACAGCAGAGCAAAAATCTTTTTGTTTTGSTACTGAGCTGCTCATAACCGTGTTTTTAGCAATACTACAGATTGCAGTTAAGTGGTTTTTGCTTTTGTCTGTGGCACTAATCTCAGTCTTTGTCCCGCTCCAGTTAATAGGCTGCATTATTGGCAGACAAGGCAGTAAGATAAATGAAATCAGGCAGATGTCAGGAGCGCAGATCAAGATTGCTAATGCCACAGAAGGCTCCGCAGAACGACAAGTTACAATCACAGGATCCCCTGCAAACATCAGCTTAGCACAGTACCTCATTAATGCAAGGTAAGTTGGCTTTGTAAGTGATCATGCTTCTGCGAGATTGCTCTGTCTGCTCTCCAGCAAATGTCTGTCCTGGGTAGATCCAGAAAGTTGCTTTGCAGTGTCCATTTTGCGTAGTATGACTTAATTCCTAATGGTTTGTAAAGCCTGTATCATTAGAACCTGTGTTTGCTGTTGGTTTATATAGAAAGGAGCTTAATCTGGTGCAATTCCAGGTACATGTTGAATGACAAAAGCTGCAAAATCTAAATACTCACATCAGCATTCACCTAAAATATCGGTGGTTAAATTAAATGAAATTACAATCATAAATTGCTTAGAGGAAAATATTTTTCACAGACCCATTTTACTGTCCTAAATGGCAAATATAGTGAAACAGATTGCAAAACAGATTTAATTTACCAAGTGGAAATTGCCACTCAGAGTTGATAAACCARCATTAGGTTGCTGAAGAGGCACAGGATTTACTTTTTCAGAGACAGCACCACCAATTTGTAAGAAGCATTCCGTAATAAGACAGGGTGAGACTATCTGCTTCTCCACTTCTGGTCCCAGAATTAATGAAGGCACTGGCTGTTTAGCTAAGCCATGGTGATGGCTTAGGTCTCCAACATTTTTTTTATGATTATTTAAAAAAATACTAAAATTGATCCCACTTTTATTTGCAATTACACGGAGAAGAAAGTGCAGTGGATATAGTGCTGTCTCGTAGATCTACTTGTAAATGCTGGACTGAGGCAATATATTGTGGGGGAGGGGGAGTAGCTGTGTATTTTACGGCTTTTTTTTCTTTTATTTTCTTTTTTTTTTTTCCCCCACAAAAATACTGTGATACGAATCAAGCTTTGTGTTTAACTATGTTTGCTGTTAAGGTAGTACAAAGTATGTGATTTATGTGGGGGCTGCAGTCACAGCAGGTCTGCAGCTTCCTGTGGTCCAGCCTCCTCTCCATCCCAGATCTTTAGTGCACCACCGCAATGGTTGGAGTGGAGGATGAGAATGTTTGCGCAGCTCTGTGTTATAGCAAACAAAAATACTGCTTTTTATAATTTAGTCTGAAAGCAGCTTCTTAGGGAAAGATATGTAGGGGTGGCACTGTGAAAACTAAGATAAGCCGTTTCCAGAATATTAAAACAACCTACAGCTCTTTTGATTTATATTCTTTGTAGCAAATATAAGTCACTTCCATAAGCCCTGTAATCAAATAAAAATGTGTTCCCTCCTTTAACCCTTAAGGATATGTTCTTCTCTTGGTGTTCAGGGATTCCCCACACATCGAGACGAGAATAGACCCCTTCATTTTTAGTTGCACAAACACCATATGGCATGCATCTGGATCTCGGAAGATAACAATTTAAGATCTTCAAGACAGCTAAAGCATGCAAATAAAATAATGCACTTATTAATGGAGTTGCAGTGAGCTGCTTACCAGAGACAGAAACTCTGGTGAACAAAACTGTTTGACTCACTTTAGGAAAGCCTGTGAACTCTCACACTTCTGTTGATTACTGTTTAATGATTCTTTTGATGGAATGGGATCTGTATGAGGTYTTTAAATATACTTTCGCAAAGAAGAAAACTCCTCAGCAATCACATACCACGGATCTCTATCGATACCCTGTGAAACCAGAAACAAAGTATTTTGTTCCTGTTAAATTTCTAGATAGAAGTTACTTGTTACCATCGTCTACAATAAACMATCATATATTATTATGTACCATGTGTTGGAACTGTATTTAGATGAAGTGACTTCATTTGTAAATGAAGACTCTTAAAGTAATGTACAATAAATTAAGCTGTAAGGTAACATAGGCAATTAAGGTGGCTTTTTCATTTTAAAAAGTGACACTGCTCCAGACCTGTCCTTTCACACGAGACATCACTGTGAGGCAGGTGGGAGGTTTGCTCCAGTGGGGTTGAGGAGCTCTGGCAGGGCAGAGGTGCAGAGCCACGCTGCTGCTGCTGCTGATGCTGCCTCTGKGTGCTGGGAGTCACTTCTAAACCTGCCACAAGTGATGCTCTCTCTTTCAAAGACGGTGGCATAAAACAGCTTTGGGGAAGAGACGAGTGCAGTACCTAGACTGCCCACAATGTGGTCTGGTACGTGAAAATAATAATTRCAAGAAATAAAAGCCATTTAAGCATTCAGCATAAGGTAGATCTTTTTCTCCCCTATGAGATCTGTTGTTCACTAGAATTGGTTTCCAGGGCCAGTATTTCTGCATAAACCAATGCCTTTCAGCAACATAAGAAGTAAAAAACCACAATTATCTATCCACAGTATTTCTGAAACGTTCTGTGTGTATCTTTAAGCTATCCTCCAGCCAAAGTTGCTATCTACAGAATATTTTATCAGCTTCTTTTAAAACTTTTATTGCAATCTGATGTTGGATATGTACATAGTATACTCTAAATTATAGAAATATAGATATATTGATATAATATCAAGACAGAGATTTAAATCTTTCTAAAGTATTGGTTTGATTCTGTATTGCTTACCCGAGCGCTGGCCTCTGTATGAATAGAACATGTCTTAGCTTGTTTGCAGTAGAAATGTCTTTTTTCCTGTAATGCCTTCTGTCTCTTTAACTGGTCTCCACTGTAGTAACTAGATTTTCATTACCCAGTTCCATCTTCTAGCTTTTATTAAGATTGAACTGCAGTTTAGTTTCCCCATGTAATATCTGACTTTGGATTATAAATTCACTTAGCCAGCTGCACTTGCTCCTTTTTGAAGGGCAGTTTCCTGAAGGTATTTTTTTACTGCAATTTTGATGAGAGGTTCATTCACAGAGGCTGCCAAAGCCACATCTGAGCTCTCTTCTTTTTACCAGTTTTGGGTAATGCAAGATGTGGCCTTCAGTGTTTGTATTCAGAAAGTGCAGGTCTGCAAAGGGACAGTGTAAAATTGTCACTGTGAAATTTTGTGTGAAGGCTGCCTCACCCACTTTCACACGCAATGTTGTTGCATCCACAGTTGGTTTGGGAAACTGCCATGGGACAGCTGATAGCTAACCTGATGAACGCCCACCTTACGTGTTGCCACCAGTAATAAATGGGAAACAGRGCCAGTTACTGCTCCAGTCATACCAATGTGAGTAGACAGAGACAGGGAGTTGAACAGCTGCTACCAACACCAGCATTTTGGCCTGTGGGATCTGTTCTCCCTGCTGCTGCAAGAAAAAGCTTAGGTTCAAACAGACCCCCATATCAGTAAGGATTTTTTTTTTGTTTTTTTTAAATGYATGGTAGGCAAATTTGGAGTCATTGAAACACTGAGTCCTGCACTACCTTTCCATAGGCCTCCCTCTCAGAATAGTACTGAGTAACACTGAAAAATCCAGCTGCATAAACTGAGTTTTTCAAAACATACTAAGGTATCACATGTAGCTCCTACACCCTCAGSCTGAGGATGTACAGTGGAGTTGGAGTCTCTGATTCAGTGGTCTTGACATAAATGCCTCCGTGTGAGTAGATAGCCAACAGCACAAGGGTGCACTTCTCTCTGCTTAGAAGAGCTRAGGGTTGTTCATCCACGGGGACAGATAAAGACCTTGGGCAAGAAAATCAAAACTTCACCTCCCATAAAGGAGTCTGAATGTTATGCACTCGCCCTTCTCCCCTCCCAGCACTTCACAGAAGATGCTCTCCTTCCAACTTACCAGCAAAATCTGCTGAGGAGTTAATGCTCCAAGAGCCTTCTTTTCTGTATGGGGAAGAGAGGAGCTTGGTGCTCAAGCATTTCCCTCTGTCCTCCACACTCCTGTCCCCAGCTTAGAGGACATCAGGTGTCCTTCAGACTCCCGTCAGCAGAAGTGCTTTGGGAAGTTCTACTCCAGTGTCCTCATTCCCTACACAGTGCTGGTTGATCCTTGCACGAGGCAGATGTGCAGCTGCTCATTGTCTTTCTCTGGCTGTGAATGGATGTGGGGCTGTTACTCCAAAATTCTGTCCAAGTCTAGGGCGAAGAAAAGCGAGTGTGGAGTGACTGTGCTCCCCTCCAGTCTGCAGTCTGGGTGCAGCTGCTCTTCAAGCCTGCTCACCCAGTCCCCAACAKGGACCAGCACAAACCCTGTGCTAAGAAGCCTCCCTGGGCCTGATGGGGTGTGTAAGAAAGTGCCAGGTTCTCTGCATGGGCAGCCAGCAGCCAGCTGGCACTTCACTCTGGAAGCAAGGAGCTGCCACAGCTCCTCAGCACACCTCAGGAGCATGACAAGTTAGTAATTGCCAAAAAGAAAACCCCAAAATTAATAGGAGTATACACACTGTAGCTAGCAAAGATTTTCTAACCCATAGTCCTGTTTACATGTTAGGCTGCCATAGCTCCCAGCTGATCACCTGCAAAAAGCATCCTAAAATTCTTATTTGTGTTGTTTGCCAACTTAAAAGCCAGGGTAGAAGCTGCATCAAGGAAATAGGCAAAGGAAGGATTTATCTAGGCAGATGTTTTGAAATCAGTGAAAAAATCAGTGTGTCCTTGGAATTACATTTGAATGTCTAAAGATGTACAGAAAAGCAGGCATATGTGGGCCAAACTCATCTTGCCTGCTGATGGGTGCAGTTAGATTGAAGTGAAGGTGGTTTGATGCTTCATCCTTCATCACTGCCTTGGGCTTGGAGGTTGGGTCAGTCCCAGAGTTCCTGGTGCTGGYGGGGTCTGTCTGAGGGTGTGTCTGTTGTATCTATGTAGTACCTTGTCTGTCGGCTGGAAAGCTTTGTCATGTTCACTGTAACCACTGCCGCGAGCTCAGGAAGGATACCACTGCTGTGCAAGCCGGGGTGTTCTTCAGTGTTCCTTTTTACTAATTAACTTATGAGTAGATTGCATAAATACTTTGTTGTGATATAAAAAAAAAAAGTCTGGGGAAAGTACAAACTGAAGTGAACACACTGGCTAATCTGGTTTGTTTTATATGAAAAATGCACATTGACCTCACAGTGAATGAAATTAAAAACTAACTCAAAAAAAAAACCAAAAAAAACACCAAAAAACCAAAACTTTATGCCTTAAATGGAAGCAGCAAATTGTTGCTCAGTCTCCTCTCATCCTAGCAAAATGACAATGGGTACTATTTATGTCACAAAACTGACAAATTGAAAAAAATTACCAAAACCCCCCGCGTCCCCCTTTCAAAAATACCCTAATTTTGAAAAGCAAAATTCACCATATCAGTGCTGGGGAGTAAACTTCATAGTTACTTTAAGTTTTCTTTTCAGTTTCGTTTTTTCCATCTTTTTGCCATTACCTGCATTCCTTAGATTTCTTTTTTTCATATGTAAAATGAACTAGCAACACCCCCATACCCTCTTCTTTTTTCCTTTTTTTTTCTGTTCTGAAGAACTTTAGAGTCTCAGTAATGTTTTCCCCATCAGATCATGGAAAACCCTTTTGTTATTTCTCTTCTTTAACACATAACATGTTCCTCCTTTGACCCTCATTTTCCCTTTTTTTCTCTCTCTCCCCCTTCTCCCTCCCACTCGTCTGTCCCTGTCGTCCACCGATCTAATCCTGGATCCTGCCCTTTCGTGGTTGCTGTCCTTCCCTCCCTCGTTCCCTCGTTCCCTCCTTCCCTCCTTCCCTCCTTCCCTCCTTCCCTCCTCCTCCTCCTGGCCCCACCGCCCTGGCTGAACCCTCCCAACCTGTTTGTTCCTCTTCCTCTCTTCGTTTGCAGCTTAGAGATGGCTAAAGTCAGCACCCAGACCGCTTCCGTCACGACCCCTGTTGACCTCAACATGAACCTCTCTCAGTCTGCCACCCCTACCTCCACCCCCACCTCCATGGCCGTGCTGGCGGCCGCCTCCGCCGCTACCGTCAGTACCCCCCCTCCCCTACCAACTCTGCCAACCACCCACTATGCCGTTCCTGTCTCCAGTCTGCTTGGCATGAAAACTGTCCCACTCCTGGCACTAAATGCCGCGGCCGCCGCGGGGGCCACGGGGAGTTTGTCCGCTTACACTGCCAAAATTCCTTCGACGAGCGGGGTTAAGAAATCTGACCGCCAGAAGTTTGCTCCATATTGAAGGGATGAGACACAATGCAAGCTTTGCCAGCTCTGCCAAGAGTCTGTGGTAGATCCTAGTTATCAAGGAAACAATACGGCATCTTTTATTTTCTGTTCAATTGCTAGTGTTAACTGTTGCCGACTCAAGTCGTCTTCCGCTCTCCATAACAACTAACACCAGGCACCACCAACCAACTAGTTCCAACAGCCAGCAGGTGCCAGCCCTGGCTCCTTCTCCCCAGACATTGTCCCTCTGATGGGGCTGCGGCCAGGGCTGGCCCTCAGCAGCCCCACAGCAAGGCAGGGATGATCCCAGCCCAGGCGGAGAGACACAGTCAAGAGAAGGAAAAAACATAAAAGGGGCAAAATATTCACAGCCGGGTCCTGCTCCCGCAATGCTACCTGGCATAAAAATACACTTAAATCCCTTAAATACACAAGGAATCCTCCAACAGCAGAACAATTCCTTATGGCCAACTGGCATCTTTGCTTTTTTTTTCTATTGCTAGACATTGCTAGAACATGCAAATCTGGCAGTTCTGATGATCACTAGTGCCCCTGCCATTCCCTGTGAGGTGCTGCTGGCCCCCTCGACCATTCTGCTGCTCCCAAAAGGCCTGGAGACCCCCTCCCCCTATCCCAACATCTGCCCACAGGGAGGAGATAGGGGTAGGAATTACCAACCTCATGTACTTCTTTCTGCATACAACAAGAAAAGCTTTCTGGTCTGAGAAAAACTGCTAAATCAAAATTACTGGGAAACAGTCAGAAAAAAATACCAGGCACCTGTGCCTTTCCATATGATTCTTTTAAAGGGAGGAACCATTTTTCTCTGCTTTGGAAAAAYGTAATTTTAAGAACTTTGCTTTAGGGAGGGAGGAGAAGAGAGAGAGAGCAGGCTCCTCCTTTTGCAGTCAGATATTTTTATGCAGTGACACAGTACATTTAAGTACTTCAGAGCAAGTTCAAACCAGATGGTGTCACTGGTCTGTGTCAGTGTCTGTTAGAGGGTAAATGTTTCYTCTGAAGTCAAAAATTTGATARTTTTTCCTAGCAATATGAAATAAATGTTTGGGCAGAAGTGAAGAGAAAAATAGTGTATTAACAAGGTGCCCACAGGACACAGATTAAAAATGAGTAACTGTTAGATATTTAAAACTCCAGGAGTGCATGCCGCTCCCTCCCCCTACAGCCKCTCRGYCACRTGGTGTGGAAAAAGATGGATCCTGTCCCCAGGAMAAARAAACAAAAATCCACGTGGCCGCTCGGGTAACAGTGGAAAAACCTGGWGATAGTTCCTCTCCTCATGATGGATGAAACAGAGGGCTCGGTGTGCTTTTCTGTTGCCRGCTTGGCTTCTTCYSGAGTCCGGGGTGAGCAGCGCGGYTTGTCCCTGCTGGTGCCGGGCTGGTCAGCGCTTGCCTCCTGGTTCTCGGACCACAGCCCTGCCGATCCACTCCAGAAAATCACAGGAGTCACAGAAGGGGAGGCAGTCCAGGGAGAGCTGTTTGCCCCAGCTAACAAACCTCAGCTAACTAAGCGGCAACAACATAACTCCCCTGCAGTGAGCAAAACTCCTGCAGCCCCAAGCTGAGCTCCAAAAGCCTGTGGCAGCCCTGGCTTTTAACTACCCTCTGCCTTCCCAGCCGCCCCCAACCCTTCTTCCGGATCAGATTTAAAGGCACAGGCACCTTTTGGGCATACCAGCAGATGGAATATAGGAACARAGTGTTATCATAAAATCAACCCAAGACATTCTGATACTTCCTCCCACTTAGATTTTATTCAGTCAAAATTACCATATTTCATTAGATTTCTGTACAAAATACATTCCTGTTTATCTCGCCAGTAATCATGCGCTAAGGTTATATGTGGTAATCACAAAAAATGTAGCATTTTAGAGATCWTTCAAGGCTACTGCCTGGGCAGATCCCATCCCTTTACCAAGCACTTCAGGATGCTCAGATTAACTAAAACAAGACAGGTAATTGCAGCCAAAGGAAAGGGAGCTGGGGAATGGAGTGGTTGGTTGCCAGCTGTTGGAACTAGTTCTTAACTGCATTTTCTGTTTGTCCATCCACCTTCTTTTTAATTTCTGTTGCATAACTCAGTAATGCAATATTGTTTTCCTCACCACTTCCAAATCCAGATTCCCATTAGCCCACCATGTTCATCCACTTTGCACTCCTTGGACACAAAGCTTTAACAATTGAACTGTATTCAGTGCATTTTAATATAAACTAAAAACACAATGCAAATGCAATACTTTTTAAAACATGGTATTTCAAAGTGTGTTATTGTATAGGGCTAAGTACTATCTCAGTATTTTGTGTCATTTCTGTATTCTGTGGGCTTTTCTTCACCTTGGCACCTTTGCACTAAGTTTTGTCACTGTAACCATTTGTAGAACCGCCATTGTTACAATTTGCACTTATCCAAATGGGGTTTTTGGTTGGTTTTGTTGGGGGTTTTTTAGTTT